ATGTGAGGCTCGATGCAAAGACCCGGGCCAAGCAGCCAGAGCCAAACTGAATAACTTCGCTCTTTACTTGTCGTGCTCAAACTATTCCTAGTTATAGGCTGGCTTGATTAACTTGAGTATCTCTTGGTATGTTATAATTTTGTAACAAATTTCAATTTATTTTAATTTTACTGTCACAATAATGATATACCGTAATTTGCCTTTTTTTCGTTGTGAAAATATTTTCGTATGGCCCTAAAATGACGAAAATATTTCAATCGAAAATTTTTGAGCAACCAAAATTTGTGACCTAATTCATCAAAGAAAGACTAAGGTACGGCCTGATAAGTAGGTATCTTCTTGCAGCTCTAACCTTGCTCTATCCACTGGTGCTTGCTGTACTTCAATCAGTTGCTTGACTACTGAGTTATAAAATAAAACGGTCCATCATGTGACAAAAGTAGCCATTTAATGTTTCCGTTTATTATCCGTAAATTGGTCATTGCTGCATCTCCAGTACTATCCGTATACTAGTAATGTCGGGAGGAACAGCCAGGTCAAGAATCTCTTATCTCAAGAATTATAAACACTACTATAGCGGCCTTATTACCAGTAGGTAAAGGACAAGGCATATGCAAGAGAAGCTAAATTTTCAGACTGTAAAAATTTTCGTACACTATGAGAAGACGAAAATATTTCCACTTGAATTTTTCTGAAACGAAAAATTTTTGTACGAAAAAAAGGCAAATTACGGTATAATAATAATGATAAATAATATATAATAATAATGATAACAACAATGATCACAATAATAATTATAATATTCCTTTACTACTTCACAATAATAGAATAATAATGATAAATAAGTACATGTATAATTAATAATAACAGCATCAATAATAATAATAATAATAATAATAATAATAGGCCTAATAATAGTTTTTATTTTTATTATTCTTTAATGTAAGTAGGTTCAGAAGTAGGTATCTTGCTTTCTAATATACAATTTACAGCTGCTTCATATTTGATTCCAAATTTACTCATGATTAAGGAGGCAATTATCTAAAATCTTGACTTGAAAGCATTATAATGCTACTTATTTGTCTTACTTCAGGCCAAACAATTTTCCTTCCAGTATAACTCAAAATTGGACCAGCTTTTTTATTTATATCACTTTCTAGCTCCATTAGGTAAAGTATGAGTTCTTGTACCTATAATTTACATGTATGAAATGTTTTATGCAACATTTTACCATATCATCCTGTTGAATCCATGTAAGATCGTTAATAATTGACATTACAAATTTGTTGTCACTGTGTTTGATAAAAGTACTGATGCA